CATTTAGCTGAGTTAAATTTGTTTCAAACATTTGTTTAATTTTGGTTTGAACTTCTATGAGAATTTAATATACGCTATAATATATGCTATAATATGCTACAATATATGCTATAATGTATTAACAATAATGCATTGCTTTTTTTCCAATTAAAGTATTGTTATGAACTTTGAAAACCCGTTGCATTTGAATTGTTTTAAGTTTGTTACTAAGATTTATCAGTTTAATACTTTGTTGTGTGAATTCTTTAATCAATTTTTAAATCTAGCCATTCCATAAAAAATTGTTAATTCAAGCCTTTACCGATGCAACCTGCCTTTTGTTGGCAAGGGTAAATGAAAGCCAAGTGTAACATCTGTGGAATTATCAACTATTTATTACTACTCTGCCTTTAAGAGATAATTAATATTTTCCACCACTTATTTAAACTCTTTTCCATTTTATTTTATTTTCCTTTCTAGTGAGTTTCAAATGAGAAATTTCTTGAATTAAAAAAAAGCTATTCCTAAGCTTTTAAAAGAACTTTCGTTCCTGCTAAAGTTTACAAAACATTCTTTTTCTATTAACCTATTTCTACCAAGCCATATTCACTGACATTTGGCAATGTTTTTTTTTTTGCAATAGTAGCTTTATAACTTAGCTTAAGCGCTTCGACAATATTTTTGATTTAGTTGTCTTCAACAAAATAAAAATGGTATAATCTGCATATTGCTGTATTTTTGTTTCTTTTTTTCATTAATTTTTTTTTATGTTTCTGTTTTGTCTAATATATTGTGAAAACATTTCAGCCTGAATGATGTAAAATATCATCGTTAAAGGGCAGCCTTGCCTTACTCTTACAAAACTTATTTTTTCTGAAAGAAAACCGTTTATATAAATTTTTGCTTTTTTTTTTTGTAAATTATTTTAAAAATAAATGAAATGAAAACTTTTCCAAAACCATAACGTGAAAGACTCTTGAATATAAAAGTGTACCCAGTCAAAAACTTTCACCGCACCTACGGAAAGTATACAAGCATCAAGTTTTTTCTTTGTTAACTAAAGTAATCACGTATCAAGTAAAACATAAGTTGTTATAAATTGTTCTATTTTTAATACAAGCGTTTGATTATTATCTTTTATATTAAGCAGGACTTTTTTTAATCTATGGGATACTGTTTTTGTTAGAACTTTATGGTATTTATATATATGTATATATATATATATATACATATATATATATATATATATATATATATATATATATATATATATATATATATATATATATATATATATATATATATATATATATATTTATATATATATATATATATATATATATATATTTATATATATATATATATTATATATATATATATATATATATATATATATATATATATCAGGGGCGGACGCAGGTTTTTAGTTTACCCCGTCAAAAAAAAAGTGCCATATGCCATTTTGAAAATGACGTAACTACACCCTGTGTGCAAACAAACAAAGTTTAAAGTATAAAGGAGGGAGGGGGTAAGTAACAATTTTTGTGATTTGAGAGAGAAACTAATATCTTGGTTTGCCTTGCCTTTAAGCAAACACAATTCACAACTAAGTTAACCTTGCTAGTTGTGAGGTTGTTTTTAGCATTTTAACTAATATGATCCTTAAGTATGGTAAAAATTAAGAAACAAAAAAGGAAGCAAATAAGAGCCTGACTTGATTCATTTTGGTCTTTTTTCAGTAAACACAGAGTATATATGTATATACATATATATATATATATATATATATATATATATATATATATATATATATATATATATATATATATATATATATATATATATATATATATATATATATATTTATATATATATATATATATATATATATATATATATATATATATATATATATATATATATATATATATATATATATATATATATATATTATTTTTTATTGTTTTTCATATACATATAGTATATGGAAAAAAAAGTAGAAACGAAGATTACGCTTACCTTTTCTAATTTTTTCATTCCCTGCAAAGTATGATTTACATTAGGAAGTTTTGTAAAATAATTTTTTCATTCTCTGCAAAGCATAGTTTTCACTGTAAACTTTTTTAAAAGTTATTTTTTAACAAAAAATAAAAAATCGGCTGTCTTATATTTAGCGGGCGGAAGACGTCGTAATATCAATATCTATACTAATTTTTTACCCCGTCAGTTGCAGCATTTGGTGGGGTTTAAATCCGCCTCTCTCTCTCTCTCTCTCTCTCTCTCTCTCTATATATATATATATATATATATATATATATATATATATATATATATATATATATATATATATATATATATATATATATATATTATATATATATATATATATATATATATATAACCCGATTAAAATTCAAAACTTACAAAACAAAATAGTCACGTGCTTTTTCTTTCAAAATTAAATTTTATTTTAAAATATTTCTTGTTTGATAAATATGTTCAAACTTATTTACTCGTGTTTTTGCACAAATTTCACAATCAATATTTGGTTTAAATATGTAGAACTTTATATCAGATTTATATATAATTAATTTTTTTTTTTTTTTAATTTTAAAATAAATATACATTTCTTATTTTTCGTGTTTTTAAAACTTTATATGAGTTATGATTCAAAAGAACTTTAACCATCACCGTTTTTTTTCTTTTATATAAGACTTTTTTTAAGTAGGATCACATTTGATTGTTATAAGAAATTCGTAATTTTCTCTTCTTGTGAAGAACAGGCATAATGAATTCGGTTATACCAATTTAATTTTTAGTCGTTATGTTAGCATCATTCATTGATTTAAACACAGCAATCCATCGTCCATCTTTATGGTAAGTTAGATTCTCTAATTTATTTTACAAACTTTTTCAGTAATTTTGTTAACATTTTCCTTCGCAATATCGTTCATATATTTTTTATAACCTATGTGCTAATTATTCATGAAGATTTTAAATTCTATTATTCTGTCTCGAATTGATTCGAAAAGACCATTTTGTTTTTATTCCAGAAGAAAAAAGTTACAGAAAAATTTATGGTTTAAATGTTTACAGAGATCCATATGTCTATTGATATAAATATTTCCAAAATGTCTATTAATGTATTAATGCTTATCTTTTATATATAGGATATATATATATATATATATATATATATATATATATATATATATATATATATATATATATATATATATATATATATATATATATATATATATATATATATATATATATATATATATATAATATATATATATATATATATATATATACAGAGAGAGAGAGAGATATTATGGCTTATTCTCCTCCGGCTAATTGCCATACAGAGGCCTATATATCTTTATATATAAGATTGTATACCTTGGACCAACATTGATCCATATACGTTAAATCAACGTTGGCTTACATGCATTAGATCGTTGATTCACATACGTTCAATCAACGTTAGATATACACAATGAATCAACGTTGGATTTAGATGGTAAAAACAATCAACTTTTGTGATATTTTTACATACGATGGACGTATGAGTAACACGAGAATAAATTTTAGTGGATAGCTCCAATTATAATATTTATAGAAAAGAAGAGAAGCAATATTAGAGAAAGAGAAGAGAAGCAATATTACGACAATGTAACAATGGTTGAAGATTGGCTGCTAGAGCAGGTCCAACTATATTTACAATGCGGTTTTGTATCTTGTCTAAAAAATAAATAGCATCTTTCGAAGATCCACTCTAGATATGGCAATATTAAAGATTTAAAGAGATAAAGAATCCGGAGTAAGAAAGTGTCTTGCTCGATAAAGAGATGCTAATTTTGCTAATATATGGTTTCCAAGAAACCATATATTAGCAATATGATTCTAATATATGGTTTTCAAGAAAAATCTAAAGTAAAAATTAATCTTAGAAAAGGAAGTGTAAATAATTATTAAGTACGTTGCCGTTCATAAATATTGGAGAATCTAAATTGTTGCAATAACAATTAGCTGAAAAAAATTAGTTTTATCAAAGTTAAAATTCACCAGCCACTGAGACCCAGCAAACAAAAAGACATCTTTAAGCTGTCTTAAAGACGTCTTCTCAAGATTAACAAAAACGTCTTAAAGATATCTTAAAAAGGTCTACGTTGTCCGTCGAAAAGACGTCATACTCAAGATTGCTTAAAGACGTCTTACTAAAGACTGGTTTAAAACGTCTTATTTAAACGGCCTAAAGACGTTTTATTCAAGACATCTTTTAGGTGTTTAGTTTAAATAAAAATTAGCGTCTTAAAGACGTCTTAAAATAGCTAAGAAAATAAAAGACGTCTTAAAATAGCTAAAAATAAGTTAGCTGGATTGTATTTTTCTATATAACAACTTATACAGCATATAACATATATACAACAAAAACAATAAAAAATAATAATTCATTTTAGTTTGTATTTTTCCGCGATGGAGCATTTTTTCAAAAATCGTCCAATTTGCTGTTTAGTATCAGCGTTTGAAACTTTTTCAAACTTTCTTTTTACAACTTCTAAAAATCAAATAAAATTTACAGATAAAATAGTAAGATGTAAACTAGCCAAATAATTTTGTCGAACAAAAATCTTGAAAATAATTTTAGTTTAACACAGATATTTAATTAAATACTAAATAATATTAAAAAATATTAATATGTTAAAACTCTTTTTTATTACCTTCTATTACATCATATTGTTTGGTTGATGATAAAACAATCTTTCCAAAAGAACCTTTTAATTTGAATTGTGTCAATAGGGTATTTATAAATAATCTATAACACATAATGAATAAACATAATTTATGAAAAATAAGCAATTTACCATCCCAACGGGCATTTTTTATATATCTTACGTTCTGAATGTATTTTAAGAAAGTATTTAGTATTTTACATGTATTTTAGAAACATTAAAGATTTTTTTTTTTAAAAAAAAGAAGCAAATAATTTAATAAGGTACATAAAATACAGCTAGTTGGATTGTTAATTAATATCTTTCTATATAACAATTTACACAAAATAAAAAAGATTTCTATATGAAAATTTACAGAAAAAATAAAAAAGAATAATTCGTTTTATTTATTTTTTTCCCGCGAAGGAGCATTTTTACAAAAACGTCCAATTTGCTCTTTAATTTCAGCATTTGAAACCTTTTCAAACCTTCTTTTTACTACTTCTAAAAATCAAGTAAAGCATAATGTAGGATGTATTCGTCAAATATATTGAAAAAAACTTAACATAGATTTTTAATTAAATTAAAAGTGCAATAATTAAAATTTATTTTTGACCTTCTATTACATCATATAGTTTGGTTGAATGTAAACCAATCTTTCCGCCAGAACCTTTTAAGTTGAACTGTGTCAACAGGGTATTTGTAAATAATCTTTAAAACAAATCAAATACACAGTAAAATTTATGAAAAATATTAAACAATTTACCATTATTGATTTCCAAAATTACTAAACCTAAAAAAAATTGACAACAAAAAAGTACAAATATGATAGCCATTCAAAAAAATAATACTAAAACCTATTCATGACCAATCTTGTCAGTTGTTTAAAATCTTCGGCACATAAAAAACTGAGTTGTTTAACCTAAACAAAAGTTAGAAAAAATAATTATAATACAATAATTATTTTTATTTTTTAATTTATATAGATAAACTATTTACCAAATCAAGTCTAACACAATCATCCACTAAACTTTTGTTAAAGTCCTCAAACTCTGCAATTGTTTCTAACTGCTTGATTGCAATATTACTTTGTGGTTGCTTGTTTAATGCTAAAATAAGCTCTTGCTTTTCAAGAACCTTTGAAAGCATCTTGAACATCATGTGCTGGTATTCTAAATTATATGAAAAAAATGAAAAAAGAAATATATTGAATGCAAAACATTTATTTATACAATTTCAAAAATATCTATAGCTATTGTTTTTATTCCTAAAATAATCCAAGTACAAAAAATATTATTTTGTTTCCTCCAATATAAAAAATCAAATAAATACTTAAGGACTTACTTCCAACTTCCATAGGAAATTGATTTTTAACTAACTTCTCTGGTCCAAGCGCAGTTTTTTGTACGTCTGTTTTCAGAAGCTTTTTTTTGGATTCTTGAGATTCGGGAGATAAAACTAAAGCAAAAAAAAATATATATATACATAAATGTATATATACATATTTATATATATAAATATATATATATATACATATATATACATATAAATATATATACATATATATAAATATATATACATATATTTATATACATGTATATATGCATATAAATATATATATATATATATACATATAAATATATATATATATATATATACATATATATAAATATATATATACATATATATATATATATATATATATATATATATATACACATGTATATATGCATATAAATATATATATATATATATATACATATATATATACATATAAATATATATATACATATATATAAATATATATACATATATATATATACATGTATATATGCATATAAATATATATATATATACATATATATACATATAAATATATATATACATATACATATATATAAATATATATACATATATATATACATGTATATATACATATAAATATATATATACATGTATATATACATATAAATATATATATACACATATAGATATAATATATATACATATATATATATATATATACATGTATATATATATACATATAAATGTATATATATACATATATATATATATATATATATATATATATATATATATATATATATATATATATATATATATATATATATATATATATATATATATATATATATATATGTATGTATTTGCTTTAATTTTACCTCCCAATTTGTTTTTTTTTCATTTGCAAAGTTTTTCAAAAATTTTTGATGCATTTTCTTCTGACATATTTTTATTAAAACCCTCCCCAAAATCACAAAAGTTAGGAGAAGAAACTCATGGTTTTCTAATATAGAGACTTAAAATAAAAACATAAAAATTTTTTATATTTGTTGTCTACAGAATGTATACTATAGGAAGCACAATTACATGTTGTCTACAAGCTGATTTTGAAGGAAAACAAATTTGTTATCAAAATACAAAAAACTAATACAATTTTCAAAAGTAGAAATTTTAGATAAAAACTATCAGATGTCGACAGGGTTAGGTCCAGGGTTAGGTTTAGGACAATGTACCCAAAGAAAAATTTGATTGTTCCATTCCAGTTGTGAAGGTAAAAAACTTAGGCAAAGCTAAAATTAACAATAAAAGAATATTCAACTTTAATAAAGAAAAAGTTTAGATAAAAAAATTCAAAACATACATAATGTACCAGAATAAGATGTTGATTGTTCCTCTGTAATTGAATGTTGAGGTAAAAAAGTGTCTGACAAAGCTAAAAACATTAAGCAATATTTTAGATTGAATAAAAAAATAAATTTTGAAAAAAATTTAAAATTAATAGACAAAGTCTACACACAACACAGATTTGATTGTTTGAAAGAAGTAGAACCAGGAGATAAACTAAAGTCAAAGGATCTCTTTAATGGATTTTTCTCCACAGATTTAAAAACTGGTGGAGGCAAAGGAAAATCAGGTAACTCTAAAATATAATAATTTTATTATTTATTTTTCATATAGTATTTAAAGAAGTATATCAATTTACAATATAGATTTCATATTAAAAAAAGAAAAAGAAATAGTAAACAAGAATATAATTATATAATGCAAATACACAATTAACATTACTTTTCAATTTAAAGGCACTTTTGGAAACACAAATATCTACTACATCTTCCTCCTCTGCTGCAGTGGTGTAACAATATTCTTTCAGCTCCTCTATATTATCTAAAAAAATAAAAGCTATTATAAATCCAATATAAACATCAGATATTTTTGGCAGTTTTTTACATCATTTATATTGCCAGTATATAATGTATGCTTGTGTGTGAAAATTTCATACCACTTTCAAATTTAATTTTAATAAGTTTATATTTGTTCCATGTTTCATCCACATCCATTTCTTCTTTAACAGCTCTTCGATAAGATACACCTGTAGGCCAGAATAACAATTTTTTTTCTGTATCCATCCACTTTCTAGGCACAACATCTTCTATTTCCTCATAATTCTCTATCCAAACTGCTCTTGCCCAAATCATGGTGTAAAACTAAATCATAGTGTAAAAATTACATTAAGGTTTAAACTAAAAAAACTTTAAAACCTAAAAAATAGTCCTTACAATAAGTTGGAATAACAGTAATAAGTTTCAATAACAAAAAGATAACTGTCTTTTAATTTATAAAGCAACAAAAAGAAATTAAAAAAACCATTAGGTTAATAACTATGGTAATAATGATGAGGAAGAGCGCTAATTTGTCTCAAGAAATTTACAAAACAAAGAAAAAAAAAAATATTAAAAAAATGGTATTAAAATAACTGCCTGGGCTGTTTAAATTTTTTAATTTTTGTAAGCAACAGAAGCAATGTTATAGAAATTAAATCTCTTAGACAAATGATTTTCATTTTACCTCATTTTTATTTTAAGTTTTTAATTTATTTACTGATTTTAAATGATTAATTTTTTTTAAGTTCAAAAAACTTTCAATAATAGCATTAAAATAAATTTTTAAATGAAGCTACAATAATCTCAATCAAAGATGATCTTTTTCTTTAAAATTATAACCTTGTAACAAACAAACAAGAGGAATAAATTAAAATTAAAGTATAAAAAGAAAAAATTATGAATCACTATTAACATATATATATATATATATATATATATATATATATATATATATATATATATATATATATATATATATAAAGCAACAAAAACATACATTTATATATATATATATATATATATATATATTATATATATATATATATATATATATATATATATATATATATATATATATATATATATATATAAAGCAACAAAAACATACATTTATATATATATATATATATATATATATATATATATATATATATATATATATATATATATATATATATATTATATATATATATATATAAAGCAACAAAAACATACATTTATATATATATATATATATATATATATATATAAAGCAACAAAAACATACATTTATATATATATATATATATATATATATATATATATATATATATAAAGCAAAAAAACATACATTTATATATATATATATATATATATATATATATATATATATATATATATATATATATATATATATATATATATATATATATATATATATATATATATGTATATATATATATATAAAGCAACAAAAACATACATTTATATATATATATATATATATATATATATATATATATATATATATATATATATATATATATATATATATATATATTTATAAAGCAACAAAAAGAAATAAAAAAAACCATTAGGTTAATAACTACGGAGATAATGATGAGGAAGAGCGCTAACTTGTCTTAAATTAAAATTAAAGTTTAAAAGGAAAAAATTATGAATTACTATTAAAATATATATATATATATATATATATATATATATATATATATATATATATATATATATATATATATATATATATATATATATATATATATATATATATATATATATATATTATTTACAGTATAAGATTCGGTATTAAACTTTGGTCACAAGATGAAAATTAATAAAACAGGATAAACATAAAATATTTCAACAAAAGTAATTTCTATTTAAAAAGATTTCAATTAATGTTCTATTTCATGCAACAAAGGAAAGCAAACAAGACCTTCCTTCCAAGGGAGAACAACAACTTTTCGAAGAAGACTTTCCATTCCTAACTCAACCACTTTTACTCGAATTTCATCAATATTTGGTATAAAGAAAATTTTAAAGGTTTTAGACGCAATAGGCTGTGTATATAAATCATCTTGTAAATCTAATCTAAACATTCTACATTTAAAAAAACCAGATGATAATTTCTCATCAACAAAACAAAATTGATTTTCTTCTATGTAAAAACATGAATTATTCTGCTTACTTGAAATTTTAAGTTTTCGAGGTTTTGTATTTAATAAAGATTGTATTCGTTCATATTGTTTGGCTATTTGAACAACAGGACTCTTTGAATTTTTTACTGCTTTTTTTAATGTCTGCATAAAATTTTCAAAGGGAAAACAGGAAATGTTATTTAGTGAACAATCAAATTTAACAACATCATCGCAAATATGAAGTAAAGAGTGAACATTGTAAACACAGAATGATTTTGTATATAAATATTTTGAATTTATAACAAAATAATTTAATAGTTCTCTAGCGAATGTAAGATAATGCTTTCTAAATCGATTGTCCTCATTTAAGAGAATCACCATTGCAACATGCAATGTTAGAAAATGATTGTAAATTTCTTTACTAACAACACCCTTTAAAACTAAGGGTCCAGTGTATAAAATAAATTGTCTAAATTCTGTAGCTTTCCATCGATCTAACTCCAAAAGGGAACGTGGTTGTCGAGCAAATTCAGATGGCATCATGCCACGTAAGCTTAACAGATTATCAGATATATTCTTTATTTGGGCATTTGAAAGTCTACAATGTTTTGGACCTGACTTTAAAAAGGTAAGTATGCGTCTTACTACACCAAGACAAACCATGTGCATATAATCCAAAACAAAATCAGAAATGCAAGATATTTCAAGTTGAGCTAAAGGAGTAAGAGATTTTTGATGTTGAGTGTACACAAAAGTATTAAACTCTTCAGTTAATCTCGGAGTTGATGGCTTGTTATCAATAAAAACAACTCTATGTTCTTCGTATAATCCTTTAACTTGGCATCGTTCACATGAGTAATATCCTGTATGACCTTGTATACATTTAAGAAAACAGCGAGAAGGTGCATCACATATGAATGCTTTTAGTGTAACTTTAAATTTGTTATTATTATAATAAAAACCTTCATTAGTTAACAATAAAAATTCTTTAATAAAATCATTAAGAAAATCATCTAAGCAGTTTGGTTTAGCATCTCCACAGAAAAGTGCAATAATGAAAATATAGTTCTCTATTAGACCAAGAATTGGCCATAGTTGAAGATTAGAAGATTTAAAAAGAGGTAGTCCATCAACATTAATAGTAATAGATAATTCGGTACTTTGAAAAGCATTTTTTGTATTCATAAAATAATTTAAGCTATCAGCAATAGTAAAATACGCATAAGTTCCACCACACTTCTTATGTACTTTAACAACTTTAAAGGGTTTTAAAAGGGTTCTTGCATCATTTGGCAACTCTGAATGACCATATTTTCTAAGAATCATTATAAGTTCGTTTAAAAGACTTTGAGAAATTTTGCTTTTCGTTGACCACACTGCCAAATCCTCTGATAATGTTTCTGTTGTCAACAATGGTGATGCATTATAACAATCATAGTTCTCATATCTAAAACTTGAAGATGAACTGGTTACTCCGCATTCTTTAAAATCATTATTTAGGGCTTCAAAAGGTACCAAAGGTACAAAAGGTATTTCAGGCTCAACATAAAAAGCATTAAGTTCAGGATTCAAATCAGGTGTACTAATATTATTAATTTCATCTTTTTCATCTTCAAATTTCATAATAAAATCCAATATACTTTTATTTAGGCGACGACGCTTCGTTCGATTTTCAGTTTCCATAATAATACTTTAATAAATCTTTTTGCTGGAATAATGGTTTAGAAAATTAATATTGGTTGAAGTAAAACTTAACTTTATATAAAAAAAACTTTTTGTTGCCGTGAAAAATTTCGCGTCT